ACTACTGCCATGCTGATTGGGGAAACAGACCAGACTACTGCCCTAAACACCACTGATATCCATTTTCTATACAGCTTCCTATGGCATGGGTTATTGTCCTCCTTCTATCTCTATAACTTCTCTTGTTTCTTTCTGAAACACATCCTATTTGGAGGTTTGTAGTATATTCAACAATCCAACATCTTATAAACAACCCATACAATTTACACTTAAAAAAAAAAAAAATCAGCTCTGTGGAGAGAGGGAAATTAGCTTTCATTCATGATATTGGATCTGGCTCTCCCACTTACAAAAATGAGACTTTAAAAGTAGTTGGATATGAGTATATTCTAGACCAATGTCACTTAAAATTAGCCACCAACATCACCATTACCACCATTATCATCAAAGCAGTAGCACATGAATTTGTGTTCATTTTTTCTTCTGTTGGGGAGAGTTGTTTAGTCTTCTTGATAGGACAGATATGAGGAAGTAGTGACAGCCAGAGCCCCAAATCTTTCAGCATATGGCAGCAAGTTAGGCAAAAAAAAACTTCTATAATTACACCAGCCAGAGTATTCCTTAGAGACCAAGATGGCTAAACTTCGTCTCTCATACTTTGGACATATTGTCAGGAGGGAACAGTCACTGGAGAAGGATGTCATGATTGGTAAGATGGAGGGTCGGAGAAAAAGAGGAAGACCCCCAATGAGATGGATTGGTCAGGTGGCATCATTGATGGACTCAAGTGTGGCAGTGGTAGTGAGGTTGGCCCAGGATCTGACATTGTTTCGTTCTGCTATGCATGGGGTCGCTATGAGTCGGTTTCGACTCAATGGCACCTGACAACAACACAATTACACCAGCACAAAACACAGACACAAAAACAGTGTGTCGAGTCCAACTCCAGGTGACCTCATGTGACATGGTAGAACTGCCCCACAGTGTTTTCGTGGATGTAGTGTTTACAGAAGTGTGTCTCTATGCCTTTCTATTGTGGGGTCACGGAGTTAGTTCAAACCACCAAGTTCTAAGTTGGTAAATCAAATAATGCCATTTGTGTCAGGATAACATACTTAAAATTTGTACTGATGGGGTTCCAGTAGGGAACCCTGGAAAACCTCATGTCAGAAACACCCATCCACACTTTAAAAAAAAAAAGTTTTATTGTGAATTGTGTGATAGTTTACATGGGAGAACATTAGTTTTACATTCATCCTATCGTATATTGTTTCATTGCCATGGTTACAATCCCCTCCATGCATCATCAAACAACCTAAGGGTATATACTACAAGCCTGCCCCCACCCCCACCCCCTAGTCATCAGCACACAGCCCCTCTCCCTCTCTGTGTCTAAAGTCCCCAGGTGCTCCATCTCTCCACGTCATCATCTCTGCCTCTATCTCAGGCATCACTGCTTCTCTGGGTAGGGTCCTGCTCTCCGCTCTTCTCCCTTGATGGTCCCAGGGACCTCCACTCCTAGATTGCAAAGTTAATCACTCCCCTCCTTGCTACAAAACATCTACCTTTACATTTTCAACCCTCACAAGCAGTCCTGATAACAATTATTCACTATTGTATCCCAAGAGTCCTATCTGCATTTCGTCCATCCACACTTTCTTGAGCTACTCTTGTACATCAGGAGTCAATTCTGGCTCTTTTCTTGGTTCCCTTGGGGAGGAGACACAGCGGAACTGAGGAGAGGGGAGAAGCTGTGGCTTTGTGTAGGAGGGGCATGGCTCTGGTCCCTACTGTTGGCACAGAAATACACTTGAGACCACCAGCTCCACTGGATTGATCTTCAGGGCGGAGTACAGTCCTACCTCGGAGAAATTGCAGGTTCGGTTCCAGACTTAACAAGAAAGTGAGTCATGCAGGCTTTTTGGCTTCCCAGTACATAGAGAAGTTATGTTTTCATAATATTGTAGTCTGTTATGTGTACAATGCATTATGAAGAAGTTTGAAATATTGTGAGAATGACCAAAATGTGCCACAGAGATACAAAGTGAGCTCATGCTGTTGGAAAACCTGATGCCAGTAGACTTGTGTGACAGAGGGCTGCCACAAACCTTCAGTTTTTAAAAAACACAGTATCTGGAAAAGTGTGATGAAACAAAGCACAAACAAGATGTGTCTGTATGTTCCTTCAATCCTGTGCCTGAGAAGGGTCACTGGGCATCCCTGAGTCATCTTGTCTGACCTCCTTAAAAATGGCATTGCTTGCCCCTTAGCATCATGTCTAGGAATTGGATCACATCCCAGTGATAGTAAGCTCCTTCCCCCAGTCCATGTGCCTGGGGAGATGGGGGACTCCAGCCATGGTGTGCCCTCTTGCTGTTGTTAGGTGCTGTTGAGTCACTTCTGACTAATTGTGCCCCGATGTACATTAGAATGAAGCACTGCTGGGTCCTGCTGCGACCTTACCACTGTTCTGTCTGAGCCCGTTGCTGCCACCATGTCAGTCCACCCCACTGAGCATCTCCTCTTCTTCACTGACACTCCACTTTACCAAGCACAACGTCCTTCTCCAGGGACTGGTCCTTCCTGACAACGTGTCCAAAGTATAAGAAACAAAGTCTCACTATCCTCTGGAGGAGACAGAAACCAATATAAAATAAGCAGGATGACTGGGAAATTCTTGGGGACTCACTGGCTCCCAGGAGACAAAGAAACACTCAGTCAAGAAGCTTGGAGCTAAGGCAGGATCAAAGAGAAAATGACAACATCTTCAGATGAAGGAGCATCTATGTCTGAGCAGGAGGAAGGACGTTCATGTGAGGTGTGGTCCCACAGTGGCATCATGGAGCTGACAGTGTCCTTGGGTATTGACTAAGAGAGTGGAAGCAGAGTCAGCAAGGGCTCTCTGGGATCAGTTAAATTGAAGGGTTGATGGGAGAAGAACGAAGCCAACGTAAATGGTCCTGCTTGTGTATTTAAGTAGGTATGAACCTTGCACGTGCTCCTGGAGGTCACCACACAGAGTTCTTGAACACCATCTCACTCCACCTAGCCTCATCTTCTCTCTTCTTGTTGTTGTTATGTGTGGTTGAATTGATTCTGACTCATAGCTACCCTATATAGGGTCCATAAGGAGCAGCTGATGGGTTTGAACTGCTGACCTTGTGGTTTGTAGTCTAGTGCTGATCCTATAGCGCTACATCAGAAGTCCATATCACATTCCAAATGGGGGATATCATTTCCAAGATTGCTTTCCTTATTTCTATACATCGTATGTGTTATGTTCCAAATTCTGTGATCCCAGTCTCTCTTAAACCCACTCCAGTCAAGGTTTTGCCCCACCACCCTCACACATTGAATATTCAGAAAGTGAAAAATCATCCTCAACTTTGCTCCACTGGGCTAACCCTTAGAGTTGTGTTCACCAACCACTTATTGATTTCTGCCTGTCACCTTTCCATCAGAAAATCAACTGGCTACACCATCAGCATACCCTCAGAATCTATCCCCTTTCATCACCTCCGTTGCTAACACTCTGGACCAGACCACCTCCATATTTGGCCAACACTACTGCAGTAAGGAGCTCTGGTAGCGTAGTGGTTACAAATCGGGCTGCGAACCATAAGGTCAGCAGTTCAAAACTACCAGCCTCTCCGTGGGAGAAAGATGAGGTGTTCTGTTCCTGTAAAGATTTACAGCCTTGGAAACCCTGTACAGGGTCGCTATGGGTCGGAAACGACTGCACGACACTTAACTACAACAACACTGCAGTAGATACCTCGCTGGTCTTCCCGTTTCCACCTCACGTCCTAACTAGTTGGCCAACTGTACTTTCTAGATCATGTTAGACCATCCTGCCCATCCGCTTAGATCATTTAAACCAAAAACCAAGCCCACTGTCTTGGAGTCCATTCCAACTTATAGCGAACCTGTAAGGCAGAGTAGAACTGCTCCTAAGGGCTTCTGGGAGTAAATCTTTACAGGAGCAGACAACCTCATCTTTTTCTGTGGATTAGCTGGTGGGTCTGAACTGCTGACTCTGTGGTTACCAGCCCAACACTAACCCACTACACAGCCAAGGTTCTTCTGTGCAGATTATCTACTTGCTTTCAGTTGTATTCAGAAAAAGAAAGCAAAGCTCTCAAGGTCCTGAAGCTCTTCCATGATCCATCCCTGACTCAACACCTTCTCATCATCCTAGCTTCCTTGTTGCTCCTTGCATATCTCCCCCCTCCTCCCCCCGCCCCGTTTTTGTTTTTTTGTCTTTTTAAGTTTTTATTGTGACTTGAGTGAAAGTTTACAGGGCAGATCATCCATTTTACATTCAACAAATCATATACTTTGTTTCATTACAATGATTATAATCCCCTCCATGTATCATCAATTAACAGTATTTCTCTCTATTTATCTTAGCTTTCTCTCTTTTTTAAAACACAATGGCATATATAATAATTTAAACCACCAAAGGACACATTCTGCAAGTCTGCCTCCTGGCCACCAGCACTCAGTCTCTCTCTTTCCGTGAATCTAGAGTCCTCAGCTATTCTCTCTTTCTATGTCCCCATCTCTGCCTCCATCTCTGGTGTCCCTGCTTCTCTGGATAGGGTCCCACATTCTGCTTGTGCTCTTCTTCCTTGATGGTCCTACAGGCCTCTGTTTCTAGACTGTAATATTACCTCTTCATTTTTGTTACAAAACTTCTACCTTTACAATTTCTTTGTCTGGAGACCAGTTCTCTGAGCCTGTACTGTTCTTACCCTGATGGCTGTATGCATCCTTCCTTCATCTCATACGAGTCTTTGTTCAAAGGCCGTCGTCTCATTAGGCCCTTCCAATGCTCCCGACTCAGGCATTCCAGATTTCTCTCTTTACGAATCGGGCTGCGAACCTTAAGGTCAGCGGTTCGAAACTACCAGCCGCTCCGCGGGAAAAAGATGAGGCTTTCTACTCCCGTAAGGATTTACACCCTTGGAAACCCTGAACAGGGTCGCTATGGGTCGGAACCTACTCAAAGGCACTTAACAACAACAACAACAACTTCCTTTCTCTATAGAAGATATCACCTGTGCATGCTACAGGGAAGCCCGAGGGTTTCTGCTCAGGGAGGGGGTGACAGTGCCACACTGTGGCTAAGCTGCTGGCACAGAGGTACACAGCCGAGTCCCCCAGCTCCGTGGAGTTGATCTTCAGGGTGGAGGATGACCCGTCCGGCATCTTGGCAGAGAACCGATCCTTGATGGTGTCTGCCTGCTCTATGACAGCCTGGTTACGGAAATAAATCAGAAACTCCAGGCCTTGGGTTGAGGTCTGTCTGTACCAGAAAAGGGCTGTGTGTCCAGAAATGGGCTCACATTTCAGGGTCACCTCGTGTCCCTTCTCTGCCACCTTGTACCTCGGTGTCTGGATTACTCCAGCATCTGCATGTTCTGTGGAAGACGGGATTTGAGAACACAATAAGGCAAATAATTATCATCATTCCTGGGAGTGTTTTTAAGGCAGATTCCTTGTTTCTGGAGACACACCTGTCCCCAGGAGATACAGGACCACCCAGAAGAGGATCCTTGTGGTCATGGCAGGGAGATGAAGGAGAAGGCTTTCCCCAGTTGTGGGCAAGAAGAGAGTTGGGGAACTGTCTAGCCCTCCTGACTTCACACAGTGGGTGGGCAGAAGGGCAGTGACGTTACTGTGACTGACACTATGATGGGGCTCAGGATTCAGAGATCAGACCTGAACTTTTTCTTAGCACCCCCACATCCCCCACCCCCTAACCCACTGCCAGGCAGGTAGGTCTCTCTCAGCTTTTCCAAGGAATCTTTGTCCTGTGGTGGAACCGCAGCACCTCCTGGTGGCCAGTGGGGCAGAGCCATGGGTCAAACCCCAATGTGAACCATACTGTGTTAGGTGGTTACAGGACAAAGGAGAGTTATAGTTGGTGTTTTAGACCACTCAAAAATAACACAGCTGTCTCTACAACTGAACACTTGAGAGAGGGGTACTGAAGTCAGCTACTGACATTATTCAATGACTTCTGCATTCCGTTGGATCGCCTCTCTTTGGAATGGGCACAAATATGAATATCTTCCAATCAGTTGGCCAGGGAGTTGTCTTCCAAATTTCCTGACATAGTTCAGTGAGCAAGTCCTGTACAATTACTACCCTGTCATTACTACTGGGTTAAGAAAGATTCAGTTGGATTTTTAAAAGTTGAAAATGTTTAATTTTTTTTTTTCCTGTTACTTTGTGAACACAAATCATGCTAGCAATATTCACTGAAGTTGGATAACTTTTTCCCCTGAAATTTATGCTTGCATTTGGGTCTAAGTCAGAACTTCCTGTAATCTATTCTTATGGACTTTATCTCTGTGTGACCTTCCGTATTAAGAGACCTGAAATTGAATATATCTGTGTCTTCTAATACAGTGCACACATTTGCCCATTTTTGACGTTGTTGTGGTTAAGTGCTGTAGAGTCAGTTCTGACTCATAGCCACCCTGTATAGGGTTTCCAAGGAGCAGCTGATGAGTTTGAACCTTGAGGTTCAAACTGACCTTGTGGTCCAGAGTTTATCTTACAGTGCCACATCAGGACCCCATTGTCCATTTGGTTTGGCGCTGTGGGTTAATGAGCCAGACTGCAAAGCCAGTTGAACTACAAGGTTGGCAGTCAGAGCTCCCCAGTTGCTCCTCAGAAACCCTATACAGGGTTGTTATGGGTCAGAATTGACTCAATGGCACTTTACAACAACACCTTTGCAGTGCGGTTGAAACTTTGTTTCTCATAGTGTGGACATTTTATCAGGAAGGACCAGTCTCTGGGGAAGGGCATCGTGTTTGGTAAAAAAGAGTCAGCAAGCAAGAGGAGGATCCTTGGTGAGACAGACTGTCTGTCACCGGGGCAGCGACAATGGGCTCAAACATAGCAATTGTGAAGGGTCACCCAGGACCTGACAGTGACGTCTCATTAGGTTTTACATGGGTTGCTATGAGTTAGAACAGGTTCAACAACACCTATCATATTTACAGCAGACTCTGTCACACAGCTCCTTCCACAGTAATGCTGGGCAGCAAACATCCCCCACACACGGTGGCTTAAACCAGTAAGCATTTGTTTTTGCTCGTGACTCTGTGAATCCTGGCTGAGTAGCACAGATGCTAGTCTTTTGTCAGATATATAATTGACAAATACGTTCTGCCAATCTGTAACTTCTCTTTTCAGCCTGGGCTTTACACAGAACAAATATTTTAAATTTTGACGTGGAAATCATTCTTAGAAGGTTCTTAGTGATAGGAGATATGCACTTAAATGAAAACCACACAAAGCAGAGTGAGATTCCTGAAGTCTGAAAGTTTGTGCAGAATAACTAGTAAGGAATCCTGCTGTGGCTCTGTGGGTTAGTGAGCTGGACGGCAAGGTCACTTTGAGTCACAAGATTGGTGGTTCAAACTCACCAGCCGCTCCTTGGAAACACTATACAGGGTTTATATAGGTCGGAACCAACTCGACGGCACGCAACAACAACAACAAACATTATCTGGAGTCCTGATGTGGGGCTGTAGGATAAGCACTGAATTGCTAACCACAAGGTCGGCAGTTCAAACACACCAGCCACGCCTCGAAAACCCTATACAGCGTTGCTATGAGTAGGAACCCACTCAAAGGCACTTAGCAACAACAACAAAGCATTATCTAGGTCAACCTGCATGGTTGTTCTTTCCAAACTGAGAACTCTCAAACATCAGTTATGTCCCACTGTGAACCCAGCCCATCACCACTTCACAGAGAAGCAAAGCATTCAAGTATTCGAGTGCCTTGGATGATGACAAGAATTGGACAATATGGAGAAAATGGTGACAAACATCTCTGTTGATGGCAATGACGAAAGTAGATGCAGAGAGGCATACGATTTTGCAAGAATGTTTTGCAAGGGGCTGGAATGGCTACAGAGGTGTCGTGGAATGTTATGCAGGTAGTGGAGAGACACAGAATGAGCTCACATTGGGAACTGTGCTTTAGAAAGACTCTTCTGCCATCACTAGTAGACTAAATGTCAGCCTTTTGCTGCAACGAGAAGGTGGTAATCACATCTCAGTTTGTCAGGGAGACTGGTGTGTGATCATCTGAACATAGTTGACACGTTAGGAGGCTGTTGACCACGACAGTTGTTATAGGATAGTCACTGTGAGCAATTTTGTCTTGTATTTGTCTCTGTAGGATCAGCACTGGACTTAACTCTAAGGTGGGCAATTCAATCCCACCAGCTCCTCCTTGGAAACCTTATACAGGGTTGCCATGAGTCAGAACCAACTCAACTGTACTTAACAACAACAAGGAGCTCTGGTGGTATGGTGGGTTATCATTGGGCTGCTAACTGTAAGGTTAGCAGTTGAAATCTACCAGCTGCTCTGCAAGAGAAATAGGAGGCTTTCTATTCCTGTAAAGATTTACAGTTTAGAAATCCTATGCAGAGTCTCTGTGAGTTCAAGCTGACTCAACAGCACACAACCACCCTCACCATGCATTCAGTTATTGCACATGGATTCCACGATTACCTTCCCTGTCTAATACATAGTGTTAGTGTTGGTTATTGTTGTTGTTAATTGCTGCCAAGTCACTCTGACTCAGTGGTTGTCAAGAATCAGCTGGTGGGGTTGAACTGCCGACCTTGACGTTAGCAGTCCAGTGCTTGTCCTATAATGCCACACCAGAACTCCATTGAAGCATAGTGCATAGCTGATACTCCCTAATTATTTCTGGAATGAATGGATGCCTAGCTCTCCTGGTCCCAAAGGTTTCCAAAGAGCTGCTGCTGAGTTCAAACTGCCAACCTTGTGGTTCAAACCGACTTTGCTGTCAAGCACAGTATCCTGCAGCACCACACCAGGATTCTAGAAAACTCTAGGGAACAGTTCTGTTGTCACATGGAGTCGCCATGAGTCACCATGTATCAGAATCGACTAGATGGAACCCAACAACAGCCATCTTAACGGAAGCAGATCACCAAGTCTTTCTTCTGTGGGGCCAGGGGCTGGGTTTGAACCACCAACCTTTAGGTTAACGGTTGAGCACAAACCATGTGTGCCACACAACCTCGAAAGAAAGTGCCAAGTGCTGTGGAATAAAACCAACCAAGCCAGAGGGGAGCAGAGGGGCTAAGAGAACTGGGGGTAGGAACGGTAGGAGGTTCGTTGTACTAAATGGAGGGAGTGACCTGAGCAGGCCCCATCAGAAGATGAGATTTGTGCAGAGACTTGCAGATGTTAAGGAAGTAGGGTGAGGAGAGGTCTCACAGAAGGCCAGTCTAGGCTGAGGGAACAGTCAGAGTCAAGGTCCTGGGGTAGATGGGTGTCTTTGAGGAATGACCTGAAAACCAGTGGCATTGGGGCGAAAGAAGCAACAGGGAGACTTGTGGGGGGATGGGAGGAACAGTGTGGGGTGAGGAGAGCAAGGAGGGACTGGACAGTCTGGACACAGCCATGAAAATGACCAAAGCGGGAAGACAGCAAAACCCACAGTGGGGGTGATTCATGCTCATTTTAATGTGCTGACCGTGGAGCTCACAGACACCCTCTGAACACTCAGTGAGGAATACTGTAATTCCACTTCTACACCAGCTTCTCCACAGAACGTTCTGGGCTGATGCTCTCTGTCCTGTCATGTCCTGATCCCCTCATTTCTGGGGAAGAGGGCCTGGGATGTGAGAGTGTGGGTGGGGAGGAGGAGCCCGAGGGTTTCTGCTCAGGGAGGAGGTGACAGTGCGACACTGTGTCTAAGCTGCTGGCACAGAGGTACACAGCCGAGTCCCCCAGCTCTGTGGACTTGATCTTCAGGGTGGAGGATGACCCGTCCGGCATATCAGCAGAGAACCGACCCTTGATGGTGTCTGCCTGCTCTATGACAGCACGGTTCTGGTAGAAAATCAGCAACTCCAGGCCCTGTGCTGATGTCTGTCTGTACCAGAAAAGGGTTGTGTGTCCAGAAATGGGTTCACATCTCAGGGTCACCTCGTGTCCCGTCTCTGCCACCTTGTGCCTGGGTGTTTGGGTGACTCCTGCATCCGTGTGCTCTATAGAAGACAGAATTGTGGAGCAGAATAAGGAAAACTCAGGGAGCCCAAACCAAGGCGCTAGGCATGAGAAGGCTGTGTGTTCTGAGGACTTACTCACTGGCTGTCAGGAAGCCCAGAACCATGCAGCAGAGAACCCGGGCACTCATGGTCAGTGGGGAGGAGAGGACAGGTGTGGATGACCCCAACCAAGATCCTTGCAGACATGAGCAGGGAAGGGAGTTGGGGACCTTTTATCCCCACGAGGTACACAGGTCAGTGACATCACTAAATGAGTGATGCCTGACTTGTCAGCTTCTAAGGCCACCCCCGTAGGAGGTGCACAGGACTGAGACCTAGTATGATTGGTCTGAGGCACGTACACCAGCTCCCATGGGCTGTTTAGACAACATCCCTTGTCACCAGCAATTTCCATGCTGATGCCATGGGCATCTTGATCGCCCAGTATTGACACTGTTGTCTTACTGTGAGACTTCACTGGGGGTGGCCATTCTCTTCTTCCCATGGACCCATACATAGGCTCAAAATCACCCACGGAGTAGGGAAGAATAAAGATGCCCAGTATGTTGAAGGGGCCTCAGCGGTGGGGGAACAGGTGTCCTGAGGACTCAAGAGATGGGGCTCTTTCTTCTCAGGGAATGACCTCCTGTGCTATCTGTCCAGAGTCCAGTGTCCTCCACAAGAAACAAGCTGGGAGTGACTTGTTATGTGGATTTGCTCTGGCGTGGATTTGAATTCTGTGCTCACCCTAGAAAACACCTGGACTTTTCCCTCTGAAAGGGGCGGTAGGAAGCCACAAGACCACTTCCTCCCATCATGGAGGTTCTGGAGAGATGAGACAAGACTCTGTTTCTTGGGTTAGTCAAGTAAATTCTTCGTCATCAGAGAAGAAAATCTATCTGAGCCTCTATTAGTGCTGTTGGCACAGGTGTGTGCGGCTGAATCCTCTGCACCTGGGAACATGTGCCTATTTCAATGCCCATTTTTAAAAGTAAATATTGTGCAGGCTGGCTTGTGTCACCAGAGGGGCCTGTGTCCCTATGAGTTCTGTTGGACCCAGAACATAAACGGGTCACCATAGCTTTGTCTATAGGAAGGTCATTCACTGTGTGTTCTTCTCCTGTTACAAGCAGAATGACCCCCTTTCTCCCAAAGATGTGTGTGTCCTAATCCTCAGATACTGTAAAGGTGTTAAACTCCAAGACAAGTTCAGTGTGCAGATGAAATCACGGTTGCTAATCAGCTGACCTCAAATATGGACATCATCCTGAATTTTCTAGGTGGGCCTGATCACATGGGACCTCAAATGTGGAAGAAAAAGGCAGAATCAGAGTGAGGCAGGGGGAGAAAGATTTCACAGGCTATCGCTGGTAATAAAGATGGAGGAGACACCATTTCTAGAAGATGGAAAAGGTAAGGGAACAGGAAGAAGGGCAGCCTTACTGACTTCTTGATCAATTGATTGTAACCCAACTCATTGGGTTCCATTTTGGATCTTTGACCTCCAGAACTGCAGGAAAACCAACATGTGTTGTCTGAAGCCACCATGTTTGTGGTGCTCCGTTACAGCAGACACAGGAAACACGTTCCGTCGGGGAGAGTACCCATGGGACCTGGGGTGAAAGAGGCAGAAGCCAGATACACCTCTAGTGGGACAGACGCACAATGGTGTGGAAAGTGCTGGAAATCACACCAAGGAAGCCCAGGCACACATCTCCCCCATAGCACACCTATTTCCAGGTCACCCAGGGGTCCGAGGTGGGTGGCAAAGGCAGAACTCGAGAGTGCATCTTCCCACAGAGAGCCAACAATACTGGGGGAGAAGATTGCCTCACTGTCCACCTGGGTGTGCTGGCGGCATCTCTCTGACTGTGTCCGGGGACCCACTGAGATTATTGGGCCAGTGCCTCTGTGTCCCCCTGCTCTGCTCGCAGTAAGGAAGGTGAGCTCAGACTCTCACTCCCATTTGCTTCTCTACCCTCCCCAGCCCGGCTCCTAGATCTCCACCTCACATTATGAGTGAACTCAGAGGCATGCCTAGTGCATGCAGTCCTGAGCCCAACCCAAGCTCATCCCAGAACCAAGTCCAACTGTGCAGTGACGGAGTAGAAAGAACTGGGTCTCCAAGTCCCTCTTTTGTGGTCATCATCCGAGACATCTACAAGGCAAAGGCCTAAATTCTGGCAAGATGAGACCCAGAGTTTCCCTCAATGTCTTGTTGCAGAGAGCTCCTTCAGCCTCTCCCCCATGAGCCCTGGATGACTGTGGGGCCACAGTATCTCCTAGCAGCCAGTGGAAGTCCTAGCAAAAATGAGGTCTCTTGCTAAGGTATGAGGGGAGGTATGGTCTCTTCAAGGAGCCCTGGTGGAAGAGTGGATTAAGCGTTGGGTTGCTAAACCAAAGGTCAGCAGTTCGAACACACCAGGTGCTCCACAGGGGGAAGACGAGGCTGTCTACCCCCATAAGGATTTTGCAGTCTCAGAAGCCCTGTGGTGTGTACTACTCTGTCCTTTGGGTTGCTATGACTGAGAATTGACTAGATGGTTCTTTTCAAGGAGACTTGGTTGAGCAATGGTTCAAGTGCTCAGTCTCTAACCAATAGGTCAGCGGTCTGAACCCACCAATTACTTCTTGGGAGAAAGATGTGACAATCTGCTTCTGTAAAGATCACATCCTTGGAAATCCCATTGGGCAGTTCTACTCTGTCCTATAGGGCCACAATGAGTTGGAATTGGTCTTTTCACTGAGTACAAGGACATGAGTCTTATGACCTGTTGGTATTACAGGGTCAGTAAAGAACATCCATCCATCTTGTTGTGGGCTAAGATGGAGCTACCTGAGAGAGACACCCTACAGGTGGAGATTGCAGTGCTAGCTATGATGCTGATGGGCTGCAAGGCTTAGACATGAAGACCAATGGGCTAATGCCATGCTGCATCAGAGTGCACCCAGTCCTTCTCCCCTCCAAACTGCTACCAGCCTGTGAGGGCAAGGAGCTCCCCACCATTCTCACTGCATGATGAGAAAGCCAGAGAGTCCACCTCCTCTCTAGGGATCCAGGAATCCAATGACGACAAAGAGCACAAACTCATCAACCAAGCACAGACTCATCAATCACCTCCTACGGAGAAGATGACGTAGGAATAGGATGACTAGGACAGGTAGCGAGATTCCACCAGATAGGGGGTGTGGAGTAAAGTGTTGTCCCAGGAGACTGGAGTTCATGGGAAAAATTATGAATCACGTTGACAGTTGTTGTTGAGTGCCATCGAGCCAGTTCTGACTCCTAACTTCCCTGTATAGGGTTTCTGAGGAGTGGATGGTGGGTAGTTTAATTATATTTCAGTGATTATCCTACTGTGCCACACCAGGACTCTTGCTGTTGGTAAGAGCCTTTGAGTCAGTTCCGACTCATAGCATGGGGTTCAGTAGAGTAGCTGGAAGGTTTGAACTGCCAGCCGTTCAGTGAGCTGTGATTAGCAGTCCAGTGCTTATACTACAGAGCCACACCAGGACATCAAGGACTACGCTATTAGCTGCCATCGAGTCAGGCCCTGATTCATGAGGCGCCCATACACCATGGCAGGAAACAGTGCCCAGTGCTGCATCCTCCCCATGAGGACCTGTGGATCTCACTGTTGGAATTCATTAAGTTTCCACTGGCTGATTCTCAGCACAGATTGACAAGCCTTTCTCCTCACTTTGTCTTAGTCTGGAAGTTCCGCTACTTAAGTGTCATGGCAACACCAAGCCTCCACTGATAGGTGGGTTGTAGCTGTACATGAAGCGTGTAAGTGTGGAATTTAACCAGGGTCTCCTGATGAAACAGAGGTACATGTGTTCTCTAGGTGATCCAGGTATCTCAGGTGACTCCAGATGGTTTATAACACCTTCCCCGCCCTCCCTTCTACCCTCAACACTTGTCAGAAGCAATAGAAAATCCTTTCCGGAAAAAGAAGTATTCATCCCAAATGTAAAGTTATTTCAGCAAATAGAGTATCTGGCACAAAGTCAAAGACAATCAGGCTCCTAAAGAAAAAGGCAAACACCGTTACTAAGAAGCAGCATGAAGAGAAAATCAACGAAAACCAGTTCCACAAAGACTCCAGGGGCTGGAATGATCAGGCAGACTTGACAGCAACTGTGTTTCCTGTGTTCAGGGAAATACACAATAATTGTGAGAAATGTCATCAGGGAACTAACTATTAGCAGATTGCCAAAGAAACCAAATAAACATTCTGGCAAGGAGATGATGAATGGTTGTGTTCATCTAGGACCGAGACTTTGTCACAAGAGGTAAATGTGTGGAGGGAGATATGGGTGTAGGAGTTGAGCTACGTAATAGGTGAATTCACATCCACGATGGTTTGCAGTCTAGGTTGGATAAGTAGGGAGTGAAGCCAGGCAGGACTGACTGACAATGACAATGCCTTCAGGAGACTCCAACCATTGCTTTCAAGTGATGTCTAGTGTTGTCTTAGAGAATGCAGCTAAGAGTAGAGGCTGTGGAAACCAAGTGTGTATGAGGTGCCCATACACCATGGCAGGAAACAGTGCCCAGTGCTGCATCCTCCCCATGAGGACCTGTGGATCTCACTGTTGGAATTCATAAAGTTTCCACTGGCTGATTCTCAGCAATCAATGATTTCTTTGTTGTTGTTGCAATGGAGTGGCACCAATTCACGGTGACCATAGGTTTTGCAGAATGAAATGTTTCCTGGGTCGACACCATCTTGTCAATTGCTGATACATTTCAGTCCGTTTTTGTGGCTGTTGTGTTAGTCCATCTATTAAGGGTTTCACTTGTGTTTGCTGACCCTCCATTCTGCCAAACGTCCCTTTCTAGTGGTTGGTCTTTCTTGATGACATGTCCAAAGTAGGCAAGTCACAGTCTCACCACCTGCCTCTAAGGAACATTTTGGTTGATTTTCTTCTAAGGTTTGTTTGGTCTTCTGGAAGTCCATAGTACATTCCACATTCTTCACCAACATTACAATTCAAATGCATCAATTCTTCTTCTGTCTTCTTTTTTCATTGCTTACCTTTGGAGCTCTAGTAGCATAGTGATTACGAGTCAGGCTGGTAATCTTATGGTCAGCAGTTCGAAACTACCAGCAGTTCCATAGGAGAAAGATGAGGCTTTTTGCTCATGTAAAGATTTACAGCCTCTGATAACCCTATACAAGTTCTCTATGAGTTGGAACTGACTCCACAGCACACCACCACCACCACCTTTGCATGTATATAAGGTGATTGAAAAGATCCCGGCCAAGGTCAGGGACACCTGTCATCATCAGAAGTTCTTACTAAGGAATTATTTTAATGCACAAAAACAGACAGTTGGAAATGCTGTTGTTGAATCTCTGGAGATCCCCATGCTGGCAAGGGCTTTTGAGGGTAGCTCCTCAGGACCTCGTGAGTACAAAGCAAACTCAGATCTTCTAACTGTCCTTTTTGTGTGGTGCTGAAGCTACTATGCAGCGCTGTGGCCTCACTGCTGGCGCAGAAGTACACAGATGTCTGTGAGGTGGCAGCTGAGCCCAACGTGAGAAGCAAGTGCTCTGTGTTTGGTCTGGAGGCATTGTATCCATCGGGGAAGTCACCGTTGTTGGTCATTTTGGTACCCACGGAGTTGTACACCAGCCTCAGCCCCAGTCCCGGGTCTTGTCGGTACCAGTACATGTAGTTGTGGTTCATGTCCTGAGTGCATTGTAAAACCACTTTCTCTCCTATCTTTGTGATCTGGTGCCTCGGGGTCTGGGTGATGCCAGCATCCGTGTGCCCTGCAACAGACAGCAGAAAAGGCAGGAGAGGGGCTTGTATGGAGGCTGTGGAAGTTCCAGGGGAGGAGGTACACCTGTGATTGTGACTCACCTGCCCAGAGGACACAAAAGACCACAGGTAAGAGGATCTGGAAACCCATCCCAGTGCAGGGCAGGAGCTCGTGGCTCCAGATGCTCAGTGAAGACACTCAGTGATGTCATGGTCTCCCACAGGTGTTGGGCTGTGCAGCTAGACAACCACACACCTCCACACAGGAAGGAAACAAGTACACAAGGCAGCTCAGAATGGGAGCATCTGTAATTCCATTCACAAAGACATTTGTAAGTGGGCATGCCCTGCCCCTGACTTTTAAGAAGGTACTGTTTCTCTGTGCATATTTAAACTCTGCGGTGAAACAATTCCTCATTTGTATTAAAGTCTTTGTTGCTGTTAAGTGCCGTTGAGTTGGTTCCAACCCATAACAACCATGTATAGGGTTTCCAAGGAGTTTCCAAGGTGAGCTTGAACCGTTGGCCTTACAGTTTAAACCAACTTTGCAGTCCAGTGCGTTAACCCACAATGCCACACCAGAACTCTGTTTAAGTCCTTAGGTGGCTGAAAAAAATTATATGGGGGCAGCGTCCTCTGACCTGTGACTTAACAAAGGGGAAGGAGACTTATGGTCAGCATCAGCCCAAGGCTAATTCTTATGAGGCTGAGGTCAAACATGTCTCCACGGTCTAACGTTCTTACCAAGTCTGAAACCAGCTATCCCTCCTAACGTACTCTCTCATTCTCAGCCAAGTTGGGTAATCCATGAGAATGATCACACAGAACTCAGAAAATACTCATGATTATGGAGTTTGCCAGGGCAGTTAACAGGTTACAACTTAGGATCAGACTCAGTTTTCAGGTCAGGACAGCCTCTTCTCTATTGTGTCCACAGGCGAGCCTCTGTTTGATCCTGTGTTCTTTGGCTTGGCATCTATCTTTCTTAGACAATGTGACAAAGCTCTTTTAAGGCTGCTCATAAATGCCCAAAGGGCACTCCTTTCCACTGTAAGCCTTTGTCCATAGGCACGCAGGCTCTAACTCAGTGGGTCAGCAAACCTAGTTCCCTAATTAAGTGCCTTGAAGCACCCTACTCCACAAATGAGACTCCTGCCCTAAGGATTGACTCGATTTGCTCCATGGATGGAGGGATCCCACTGCTCTGGCTCTTGGTTCTGCTGCTTCTCTGGTGTCCCATGGTTCTGTCCCTGAGCTGAAGAGAGTCAGTGTGAGGACCTCAGCATCTAAAGGACGTGCTCCACTGCTGCTTCTTCTTCCTCGATGGTGGTGAGACCCCCTTTCCTGTGTATGAGATTGCTCATTTTATATCCATGTTGGAGTTCCTAGATTTTACTAACCCAATGGACCCTGTTATCACTCACAATGGAATCTTATAATCCTGTCAGCATCTTCTCACACCTTCTCTTACCCAGACCCATCAGAAAAAAGGCATTTGATGGGAGTTACAAAAACTATGAGTAGAAGAGCCACATGAAGTAATTCACTGCATTGCTATGGTGAAAACAGTTAAGCACTCAACCACTAAGAGAGTCTGACAGTTTAATCCCACCCAGAGCACCGGTAGCGTAGTGGTTACGAGTCGGGCTGCCAACCTCAAGGTCAGCAGTTCAAAACTACCAGCGGTTCCATGGGAAAAAGATGAGGCATTCTGCTCCCGTAAAGATTTATAGCCTCGGAAACCCTGTGCAGGGTCACTATGATTCGGAACCGACTCCATGGTACTTAAGAACAACAAGAACACCTTAGAAGACAAGCCCAGAGATCTGTTATGAAAGCTTATGGCTTTGAAACCTCAATGGAGCAGATCTGCACATGTGGGGTTGCCATGTGCCAGAGTCAACTCATTGGCAACTAACAACATCAACAACATATTGTTTTCAACTTTTCCTAGTATGTATGGAGTGTAGGGAAGATGCTCATGGACATCCTGGTGACTTCTACAATTGGTCTTATCAAAATTCTTGTACGAATGAGCAACTTTTACCAGTTTTCCCCCTCGCCCAGATTCTGGATTGCTGGTGTCAGCCTACAACAACCTGGTGGATCAAAGAGCCAGCAGGACATTCAGGAGGTTTTCAGAGTGGTGGGGTTATTAGAAAGTAGAGATTCATTTGTGCATCTCCATCAGTTCTCAGAACCCACCCTCCATGGTTGGTTACGGTGGGCTTTCCTGGGCCACCACCTCCTTTGTTGGAGATGAGATTGAGGTTGCAGAGTATTGGACAACCTGAGTCCTTGTGACTGTGTTTTTTGTGAGGAAAAGAGACTTTTTCTGTCTTTCTTTTATTTTTGTGTGTGAATTAAGAAAAGGTTTACAGAGCAGATCTGTTTTCCATTCAGCAATCCATGCATATATCATTGATTGCAAACCATAATAACTCTTCTCTCACTTTCTCACTGTTTCCATCCCTCTTTCTTTCCTACCCCTTCCTGCCTTCCTAACTTTGTCCTTGGGTAAATGCTGCCCTTTTGATCTCAAATGATTGATTGTTTTAAGGTATGCATACCTCACTAGTGTTATTGTTCCCTTGTGCATTGTTTGGCTGAAAATCAAGCCATGTGGGTGAGTTCAGTTACAGACCTGAAGGGGAACTTCTTAGCCATAGTCTCAAGGGTTCCACCAGTCTCTATCCAACCAGTAAGGTTGGTCTTTTTTAACTTTAATTTTTTATGATTTATACTTTTGTTCCACATGTTGTGATGGGAACAATTCACAGAGAACCTCCTGATCAGTGGGAAATGCTCTGTTTCTATTCAGAAGGTAATGGCTCCACCAAATGTGAGCATATCAGCTGAGTCGTAAGTTTGCTGTAAATTTACAGGGAGTCAACAGCAGCCGTCGTTGCAGTTTCATGTAGCGGTTATAGCTTAGTCATAGATGTTTCTGTAATATACTAATACAACTTTGCAAAAGGGAGACTGTTGGCTCTCAAATCATCTAGTTGGTTAATGTTTGGTCATGTCATCTTGCTGTTGTGAGCTGCTGTCGAGTTGATTTTGACTCATGGTGACCCCGTGTGTGACAGTAGAAGTGTCCTGTAGGGTTTTCCTGACTACAGCTCCTCAGAAACCCTATACAAGGTCAATATGAGTTGGTTCTGACTCAATGGCATTTAGCACAAACAACAACAATCTTTATAGAAGATCACCAAGACTTTCATCTAGGGAGGCCCTGGGTGGGTGTGAATTGCCAACCTTTTGCTTAGCAGTTGAGTGCTTAACAGTTTGCACCAACTAGTGATGCTATTCTTAAAGATAAGTCTAGTTTCCCATATTCCAAGGATTAATATATATATATATATGGTAGTTATTCCAGAAATTAACCAATGAGCAGCAACTATCATAGTTAAACTTTAATAGATTTTATGGATAAAATGTCAGAAATTTAAAATTTACTCTCATGGTTTATATGTTGTACTCTATATAGTTGTTGTTGTTGTTAAGAGACATGGAGTCGGTTCTGATTCATAGTAACCCTGTATATGGTTTCTGAGGAGCTGCTGGTGAGTTTGAACCACCGACCTTGCAGTTCAAACCAACCTTGAGGTCGAGTGCTTATCCTCCAGCGCTATACCAGGACTCCATACTAGGGGTGCTACATATGGTCTCTTGGAAACCCACTGCCATTGAATCAATTCTGACTCCATGACAGAATAGACCTGCCCCATGGAGTTTCCAAGGCTGAAATCTTTAGGGAAGCCGACGGCCTTATCTTTGTCTCACTAAGTGATGGGGGGGGGGGGGTTTAAACCACTGACTCTGGTTGCTAAGTGCTTTAACTGCAGCACCACAAGAACTCCTTCTCTTAGCAACAGACATCCCTAAACACCCTTCGACACTCTCATAATTGTAAGAGCTGGGAGCCTTGAATCTCCATTTCCCAGACCCCCTGATGGCATATTTCTGCAAACAAATTTGCCATCGAGTCAGTGTTGACTCACAGAGACCCTATATAGGATTTCTGAGGATCAGCTGGTGGGTTTGAACTTCCAACCTTGTGGTTAGCAGCTCAGTGCTTATCCTACAGCGCCACACCAGGACTCCTCAATCAGCTACCTTGGGGGAAATGTGGAAGACAGCATGCACAGCAGCAGATAGGTGCTTTGCAAGGACCTCTGGACACTACCCTGTGAGTTACCTACATGGTGGCTGCAGGTCCACTCTGACCCTCAGCTGTGTTCTCTAGATCCTGACCTGGGTAGCTGTAGCAGCTCCAGGATTCTGTGACTAAGCTTGGTAAGATGGAAGTCAGCAAAAAAGAGGAAGACCCCCAACAACATGGATTGATAGAGTGGCAACTACAACGGGCCCAAAGGTAACAGTTATGAGGATGACACATGACTGGACAGTGCTGTTTTCTGTGGTGCCTGAAGTTTCTATGAGTCAGAAGTGACTCCAAGGCACCTAACAACAAGGACAAAGTGGTGAGCCTGAGCAGACTGCAGCCTCCCCAGCCACTTCCTTGTATGGGCTCATCGTGCCTGCAATCCCAGGGGGCTCCTGTTTTCTTGGCTGAATCTCCTGGGCAGCTCCCTGAGTTTCTTCACCCTGGATCGGGGCAATGCCATGGTCTTGCTCCACATGAAGCTACGATGAGGCAGAGGAGAACATTTCCTACTGGGTCATAGCTAAGGACAAACATGGCTCTCTGGTCCTGAAAGTCAAGGTTAATAAGCAGCAGTAACGTCACCTCACAAGACACAATCATCCACACCTGTTCAGCCAGTCTCAACATGAGACAAGTCTGCTCATTGCATCTTACTGGCCAGACTAGGAACCCAATGGACTTTAGGAAACCTTGGTTTTGGAGCCTGGAGACCTAGGCTGGGTTCCTGGCTCTAATATTTGTAAATATGGAATCTCAGGAGTGCCCATAAGACAGCTTGCCATCTGTAAAGTGGCTGGAGATGTCTCCATCCACAAAGTGCACACTATTGTGTTCTTCCTTGCACACCCACTCTCTCCTACAGGGTGGGTGTTCGTGCCATTTACTAGGATCGCAGAGGACTCTGGCTAAGTTCTATGAGCAGAAAGTGCTGGAGAAAGACCACAATACCACACAAGCTCTCCCCTCGTATCTCCAGGGGAGGCAGGAGGTTTGGGCACAGGGTGGTAGTGACTTTGCAGGGCTGTGGTCGATACTGCTGGCACACAGGAAAACGGACGAGTCGCCCTGCTCCAGGGAGGTCAGGTTCAGCTCTGAGCTGTAGTTAGAGAACTGTTTGCCTGAGAACCGGTCCGGGATGTCCCCTTTGTTTCTCTCCATCTTCTCAAAGTACTCAATGAGGAACTGAAGGCCCTGCCCCTGGGACTGCTGGTACCAGAACACACTGCGGTGCCCAGTGTCAGGGTAGCATTGCAGACTGGCTCGTCCCCCCTTTCCTGCAATGAAGTATCTGGGGTACTGGACAACGCCAGCGACCATGTGACCTGTGAGAAAAGGTAAACATGGGGGTGCCTGACAGTCAGCAGCAACCAGGACCCATGGATTCAGGGGGTTCCACACAAACCCAGGACTCACCTGCCCCCAGGAGACTCAGAACCACCCAGGAGAGGAGCCGGGAGCCCCTGGAGGGGGTGAGCATCTTCACTCAGAGCTTCCAGAGAGCGGCTTTGTCCTGCGTTTCCTTTGACCAGAGCTAGTCTGTGGTCCTGCCTTCTGACGTCACTGTCCTCTCGGGGGTCCCAAGCACAGCTCTATCCCCACGACAGCACAGACTCACTGGCTCCGGGTCCTCTCCTCTGTCCAGCTCCTCCTGCAGAGTCAGACAGTAACCATCCCCACACCCTCACGGATCTCTCTCTGAGGCCATTGGTCCTTTGGCACCTGGCGTGGTTACCGGGGCGGTCCCTGGAAGGTTCCTCTTGTTCCACCAAATGCAGGCTCTGGCGCTCCCTCCTAGAGGTGGTGGCAAAGGTGCCTCAGATGCTGTCAGTGGATGCAAGAAGCCTGCCCCAGGTACCCCTGCCATAGCTCCCCTCACCCAGCTTCTCTTGCAGGGCTGTCAGCCTCTCACACAGGAGCCACAGCGCCCCCAGGCGGCCAGCGGTGCAGCCACAGGAGGCCCATTTGATGCCTGCTGTCTCCAGCGGTGCACCCTTCCTGAGCGAGAGCGAGGCATGAAGCAAAACTTACCGCGAAAACAAACTCGAAATCTCATCAATTAGAGTTCTATGCGGGAAGGTACTAGTAGGTCACTAGCTGCCAGCTGCCCTGGAAAGAACCGGAGTCCGGACAACATCTCTGTCTTTAACCGACAGTGATTCCTGCAGAGGGCGGATCATCAGTTCAGAAACCTTGTGTTCCCTCACAGATCTCCGTTCCGTGAACACTCACTAGCTCAACTCTTGCTCTACTTTATGGATTTGTTGTTGTTGTTGTTGTTGTTAGGTGCCATCAAGTCGCTTCTGTTTCATAGAGGCTCCATCTATGCACAGCGGAATGAAGCGCAATCCCATCCTGTGCCATCCTCACAATTCTTAGGTTTGCCACCATTGTTACTGGCATTATGTCAATTCAGCTTGTTGGGGGCTCTTCCTCCACTTTACCAAGCATGAGGTCCTACTCCAGAGATTGATCGGTCCCTCCTAATAATGTGTCCAAAGTACAATAGATGAAGTCTTGCCTTCTCCTCTTCTGAGGAGCATTCTGGCTGGACTTTGTCCAACACAGATTTGTTTGTTCTTCTAGAAGCCCATGGTAATGTTAATCTTCTTCAACACCATAACTCAATTGCATCAATTGTTCTAATGGTCTTCCTTATTCACTGTCCAACTTTCACATGTAAATAAGGCAATGAAAAACGTAATGGATTGTGTCAGGTAGCCTTAGTCCTGAAACTGACATCTTTGCTCTTGAACACTTTAAAGAGGTCATTTGCAGCAGATTTGCCTAATGCAATAAGTCATTTGATTTCCTGACTGCTGCTTCCAGGAGTGTTGATTATGGATCCAAGCAAATTAAAGTCTTTGACAACTTCAAACTTTTCTACTTTTATCATGATGCTACTTATTGGTCCAGTTTTTAGGATTTTTGTTTTCCTTACACTGAGGTGCAATCCATACTGAAGACTGTGGTCTTTGATCTTCATCAGTAAGTGCTTCAAGTCATCAGCAAGCAAAGTTATGTCATCTGCATATCACAGGTTGCTAATGAATCTTCCTCCTACCCTGATGCCCCATACATCTTCATATGATCCATCTTCTGGATTATTTTCTCAACATATAGATTGGATAAGTATGGTGAAATAATACAATGCTGACACACAGCTTTCCTGATTTTAAACCATTTAATAGCCCATTATTTTCTTTGAACAACTGCCTTTTGCTCTATATACAGATCCCCCATGAACACAATTAAGTGTTTGGGAATACCCATTCTTCACAATGTTATTCACAGTTTGTTATGATCTACATAGTTGAATGCCTTTGCGTAATTAATAAAGCACAAGCAACCATCTTTCTGGTATTCTCTGCTTTCAGCCAAGATCCATCTGATGTCAGTGATGATAGCCCGTGTTTTATATCCTTTTCTGAATACAGTGTGAATTTCTGTCTTCTCCCTGCCCATGTATTGCTGCAATCATTTAAAAAATTATCTTCAGCAAAATTTTAGTTGCATGTGATATTAACGTTATTGTTCAATAATGTCCGTATTCCACTGGGTCATTTTTGTTTGGAATGGGCACAAATATGGATCTCTTCCAATTGGTTAGCTGGGGAGCTGTCTTCCAAATTTCTTGGCGTAGATAAATGAGCACCTCCAGTGCTGAATCAGTTTGCTGAAACATTGAAATTTGTGTTCTGTCAATTCCTGGATTCTTGTTTTCACACATATCTCTTGAAATGATTGAATATTGACAAATTCTTTTTGGAACAATGGCTGTGTATTTCTTTCATCTTCTTTTGATGTTTACAGGATTATTCAATATTTTACCCATAGAATCCTTCAATAATGCATATTAAGGTTTGAATTTTTAAAGTTCTTTCAGCTTAACAAATGCTGAGCCTGGTCTTCCCTTTTCATTTTCTATCTCCAGGTCTTTGTACATCTCATTATAATATTTGATATCTGTCTTCTGGAGCTTCCCTTTGAAATTTTTGGTGCACCTCTTTTGCTTAATTTCTTCCAGTCACTCTAACTCCTTTATGCTCAAGAGAAAGTTTCCGAGTTTTTTCGGACATCCACTTTGGTCTTTTGTTTCTTTCCTGTCATTTTAATGACCCTTTTCATTCTTCACATTGATGTCATCCCACAATTCTTCTAGTGTCTGGTCATTAGTATCTAATGCAACAAATCTGTTCTTGAGATGACCTCTAAATTCAGGTGGTATATATTCAAGGTATATGTTGACTCTCGTGGACATGTTTTAATTTTCTTCAGCTTCACCTAAACTTGTACTGAGCAACTGATGGTCTGTTTCACAGTCAGCCCCTGACCTTGTTCTGGCTTATAATAGTGAGCTTCTTCATTGTCTTTTTCCACAGATGTAGTCAATTTAAATCCTGTGTATTCAACCTTGTGAGGTCCAAGGGTATAGTCACCTTTTATGCTATTGAAAAAGGGTCTTGACAATATATAAGTTATTGGGTTAGCAAAAGTCTATCATGTGATCTCCAGCATCATTACTATCAACAAGGTCATAGTTTCCAACTATGGATCCTTCTTTGTTTCTAGTTTTCATGTTCCAGTCACCAGTAAGTATCAATGCATCTTGTTTGCAAATTTGATAAATTTCAGGCTGAATAAATTAGTATAATTTATTCAATTTCATCATCACTGGTTTTACTGGTTGGTGAGTAAATTTGAATATTAGTGGTATTAATCTTCTTCGTTGGCATTTGGATATTATCCTATTACTGACAGTGTTATATCTCAAGATAGATCTTGAAATATTCTTTTTGACAATGAATTCTTCTTCAATTTGTCATTCTGGGCATAGTAAACCATATGATTGTCTGATTACAAATTACCAACATCAGCCCATTTCAGCTTGTGAATGCTTATATAGCGATCTTTATTTGTTCCATTTCATCTTGACAAATTTCAGTTTTCCTAGATTCATACTTTGTACATTCCACATTCTGATTATTAATGGATGTTTGCAACTGTTTCTTCTCATTTCAAGTTGTGTCCTATCAGCAAATGAAGGTCCTGAAAGCTTACTTCCTCCACATTATCCACAGTAGAGGTCAACTCTTCTCTTAGGAGACCATTCTTCCCCAGTCACATTGTGAGTGCCTTCCAACCTGAGGGATTCTTTGATTGGCACTCTATCTGGCACGGTTCTACTGTTATTAGTTTGTCAGTGGGTAAACATTCTGAAGTGGGCTGTGTCTTCTTCGTCCTACTCTGTCTCAGTCCAGAAGCTCGGCTGAAACCAGTCCACCATGGTGATCCTCTTGGATTTTAAAATATTGGTGCCATAGTTTCCAGCATCACAGCAACACACAAATCACCACAGTACAACCACCCGACAGATGAATGGTGGTCTGTATGGAGTCACCTACCATTCTAGGTTTGGTTTGTAGAAGAGAATGTTAAGTATTTCAATTACTAAGGAAATGTGCAAGGACTTAGAGTTAGAAAACCAAAACAGAAGAACATGACTGGCATTTTTCAAGTTTAAAGAACTAAAGAAAACATTCAGGTCTCCACTTACAGTATTGAAGGATTCTATAGGCAAAATGGATTCTTGGTGTGACACTATAAGATCAGCACTGGGCTGCAAACCACAAGGTTGGCAGTTCAATCCCATCAGCTGCTCCTTGGAAACCCTATATAGGGTCATTGAGCCAGAACAGACTTGACATCACTTAATAACAACAACAAATGGGCAAAACATTGAACGATGCAGAAAGTATCAAAAGAAGATGGAAGGAATATACATAGTCACTATACCAAAAAGAAATAGTCAATGTTTAACCATTTTAAGAGGTATAATATAATCAAGAACCGATGGTACTGAAGGAAGAAGTCCAAGCTGTACTGAAGACAATAGTGGAAAACAAGCCTTCAGGAATTAATGGAATGCAAACTGAAATATTTCAACAAATGGATGTAGGACTGGAGGCACTCACTCATATATGCCAAAGAATTTAGAAGATAACTACCTGGTCAATCAATTTGAAGAGATCCAAATTTGTGACCATTCCAAAGAGAGACGACCCAATGGAATGTTGAAATCATTGAATAGTATCATTAATAGCACATGCAAGTAAAGTTTTGTTGAAGATAATTTTTTAAAACTACTACAACAGTACATCGACAGGGAACTGCCAGAAATTTAAGTGTATTCAGAAGAGGATGTGGAACAAGGGGTATCATTGTTGACATCAGATAGCTCTTGGCTGAAAAAATATAAAGATGTTTCCCTATGCTTTGTTGACTGTGCAAAGACTTTTGACTGTCTTAACAAGCTATGAATAACTTTGCAAAGAATAGGTATTCCTAAACACTTAATTGTGCTCATGAGGATTTTGTACATGCACCAAGAGACAGTCATCTGAACAGAACAGGGGACTACTGAATGGTTAAAACCAGGAAAGTGCACCATGGGTATATTTTTTCCACCATACTTGTTTAATGTTTCTGCTGAGCACCAGTTCAAAATTAGCAGAATGCCTCTTAAGCAGTATGATGGGAAAGGGGGGAGGGTAGCTGTAATGGTTAGGGTTCTGTGTCAACTTGACTAGTCCAGGATTTCTAGAGATTTGGCAGTTGGGATGTGC